CACCAACCTTTCAGTTAGTAGCCAAGTGTATTAACCATCTGGGCTACCCAGGGACTCCTTACTGTCTATAAGCCATACTAAAACATAGGCTTTATGAGGGTAGGGGCTTTTGACCCTAGAGTCTAGAAAACTATCTGACTTATACCAGACACTCAAAAAATATTTATCAAATGAACATACTAAACAGAATAAACTCTATACCCTTAAAAGAGAATACAGCCTCTTTTAATATTCATGGCACAGTTAAAAAAATTAATCAACTAATCAACTAATGATCACTGAATTTCAAAAAGTAGAACAACAGTACAGTCAACATTCACTGATCACAATGCAACAGAAATAAAAATTACCACTAGACAATGAACAAAGGAAAGGAAAACCCTATCTCCTAAAAATGTAACCACTCTCAAATAATTCTTGGATCAAAACCAAAACCACAGAATAACCAGAATATACTATATGTCAGAATTAATACAGGTAGTCCCCAACTTACAACAAATTCGAGCAACGACACGCCACACACTTATGGCGGTCTTTTTTTTTTCTATACGTCTTATCATTAGTAATACGTACTACGTACTATGTTGCAGTGCGTAATTTGCTGATGTTATCATTCTCAGATGTTCACTTGCAGATGTTCAAAGATCAGATTTATAAAGATACTGATAATAAAAGGCAATAATAATGAAAACTAGAAAAAAAAAGGTATTTGACTTATACCAGAACTGACTTAAAACAGTATAAGATACAGATAATAAAAGGCAATAATAATGAAAACTTAAAAGAAAAAAAAAAAGAGGTAGTCAACTTACATCAGAACTGACTTACGACAGAGTCGTCAGAGTGGAACCCCACTCTAAGTTGGGGACTACTTGTATAAAATTAGTACATATCAGAATCTATGGAATCTAGTTGTTAGGTGCCGTTGACTCGATTCTGACTCATAGCAACCCCATGTACAACAAAACGGAACACTGCCCAGTCCTGCCATCGTCACGAGTTATGTTTGAGCCCATCGTTGCAATCACTGTGTCATCTCCTTGAGGGTCTTCCTCTTTTTTGCTGACCCTCTACTTTACCAAGCATAATGTCCTTCCCCAGAGACTGGTCCCTCCTGATAACATGTCCAAAGTACATAAGACAAAGTCTCACCATCCTTGCTTCTAAGGAGTATTCTGGCTGTACTTCTTCCAAGACAGATTTCTTCATTCTTCTGGCATTCCCTGGTATATTCAATATTCTTCGCCAACACCGTAATTCAAAGGCATAGTTCCTTCTTTGGTCTTCCCTATTCATTGTCCAACTTTCGCAAACGTATGAGGTGACTGAAAACACCATGGCTTGGGTCAGGCACACCTTAGTCCTTAAAGTGACATCTTTGCTTTTTAACACTTTAAAGAGGTCTTTTGCAGCAGATTTGCCCAATGCAACGCGTCATTTGATTTCTCGACTGCTGCTTCTATGGGTGTTGATTGTGGATCCAAGTAAAAGGAAATTCTTGACAACTTCAATCTTTTCTCCATTTATCACGATGTTGCTTATTGGTCCAGTTGTGAGGATTTTTACATTCTTTATGTTGAGGTACAATCCATACTGAAGGCTGTAGTCTTTGATATTCATCAGTAAGTGCTTCAAGCCCTCTTTGCTTTCAGCAAGCAAGGTTGTGTCATCTGCATACAGCAGGTTGTTAATGAGTCTTCCTCCAATCCTGATGATGTATTCTTCTTCATATACTCCAGCTTCTTGGATTTTTTGCTCAGCATACAGACTGAATAAATATGGTGAAGGGGTACAACCCTGATGCACACCTTTCCTGATTTTAAACCATGCAATATCCCCTTGTTCTGTTTGACTGCCCCTTGATCTATGTAAAAGAATACAGTTAAAGCAGTGCTTAAAGGAAATTTTGAAACCCTACTTATATCAACAAACAAGAAGGAAAGAATGATAAATTTAACACCCAAATCAAAACGTTAGATTAAAAAACTGGAAACTTGAAGTGTTACAGTGTTTTCAGAAGTCAAACTGACAACATTTACTAAATTTTAAAATGCGTATGTCCTTTGATCCAGAAATTCCACTTTTGGAAATCTATCCATAGAAATTAAAGTACCATTTCATAAAGATATTAGGTACTAGGATTTGTTTTGTACTAGAAGCAATGAATATTCACCAATAGGTGACTAGCTAAATTATTTGGCATATTCACACCACAGAATACTACTTGGCCACTCAGAAGATTCAATTAGAGTTAAACCAAATAAATTGGAGAGTTTTCTACAAGGCAATGAAAGAAAAAAGCAACTTAGAGAAAAGTATGTACAGCATTGGAAGAAAGGGCTGGCAATCTGCTTCTGTTAAGATTACAGCCAAGAAAACTCTATGAGCAGTTCTACCCTGTAACACATGGGATTGCCATAAGTTGGAATCGACTCGACAGCAACAGGTATGGGTTATGTATAGCGTGATCTCATTAACAACAATCAAAAACCTTAAATGTTTAAGCATATAGAGAAAAGCACAGAAGGACATACACCAAGCTGCTAACACAGCTGTGGGGGCTGAGAGGGTTATATATATGATTTAATTTCATGTATGTAACATTTTATATTTTACATACGTATATACATAAATACCACAGAGAAAAAAAAATAAAAAGCCAAAAAAAGATAGGAGAGAATTAATAAAGATAAAAACAGGAATTAATATATAGAAAATTGAAAAGCAATAGAACTAAAATAAATACAAGAGCTAGTTCCTGGGTGCGGGAGGGGAATGAACCATTAGCTAACCAAATAATTTTTTCAAGACTATTTTTGCCATTTGGTCTTTTATTCCTTCATATTTGTTTTAGCATCAGCTTGTCATCTTCCCTAAAAAAAAATCCTGTTGGAATTTTTACTGGAACCATACCGAATTCATGCCTTAACATGAGGAGAGATGAAATCCTTACGATACTGACTCCTCCAAGCCATGGATGCCATACATTGCTCCTTTTATTCAGGTCTCCTTTCATGTCTTTTAGAACTGACTGGTAATTTCCTCTATATAGGTATTACACAGCTTTTGCTGCATTTATTTCTATTACTCCTTATATTGTAATTTAAAGTATTTTCTATAGCATACATTTTTCTAATTTATGCTGCTGACAGTCGATTTTATTATACTTAAACTTGCTAATTTCTTAATACTTCTCAGTCTGTGAATTCTCTTTCTGCATAATTATATCATCTATAAATAGTTTTGTTTCTTTAATTCTAACCCTTACACCTTTTATTTCTTTTTCCTGTTTTATTGTGAGGGCTGAAACCTCCACCACCATATCGAATAGAAGCAGTGATAGCAGGTACCATTGTTTTTTTCTGATTTTAAAGCAAATGCTTCTAATTTTACCATTCTGTACAGCAAATGTCCTTTTATCAGGTCAAGGAAATTCTCTTCCATTTCTAGCTTGCTAAAAGGTTTTTAAATGACTGACTGTTTAATTTTATCAAAGCATTTTCCAGTATCTATTCTCTCTACTGCTTCTCTTGGGAGAGACAGTCTACCACAGTCCTGGGTGTCTTTGCACATCCTTGCCATACATGCCAAATTACAAGGCCTAACCACGGACTACCAGAGGAATGAACAAATCTGTCCTGGAGGACGAACAGCCAGAATGCTTCTTACAAGCAAAGATGGCAAGACTTTGTCTTGCTTACTTTGGACATGTTAACAGGAGGGACTAATGCTAGAAAAGGACATCAGAGGAAAAGTAGAGGATCAATGAAAAAGAGGAAGACCCTCAATGAGATGGCTTGATACAATGGCCGCAACAATGGGCACAAACATATCTACTATTATAAAGATGGTGCAGGACCGGGCAACGTTTCGTTCTGTTATACGTGGGGTCACTATGAATTAGAGTCGATTTGACAACACATAACAACAATAACAACCATCCCCTGATACTGAGAAGTTGCTGGTCACAAAGACAATTAAATGAGTCAAAGAGACCACAGCATGACTACTGTGTGTGACTGCTCACTCCCCGGGGAAGGGGACCTGGCTTGCTTCCTGCTTGCTACAAAACGTACCGAGCTCTTGGTCTTCGGCTGCTCAGCTGCGATGCAACTCACCATATGCCTAGCCATCATCTACGCTCATCCCTCTGCCCTTGGAACTTGGGGGCAGAGAACTAGCACTACCATGCTGATGCTCCTGCTGGCTGCTATGCTGTGAATAAAAAACTGTCTTGCTCTAGCCCACTGAGTCTCTCTGTCTACAAATTTGGTCCTATGGAACCATGGCCAGCTTACTCCTTGCCGTCCTCTATGAGGTTGGGGTTCTTCCCTGGCATTTCATAACAGATCTTTAATAAGATACTTTTACAGCGCCCAACACTACCACTGTGAGGTCACATAGTCAACAAATTATCAACCTGGTTAAATCTGTACCTCTTTTTCCCCCCTAACTATTCTTTCAGATGTTTTCTATCAGCAACCAAGCTAACAATGACTGAGGTCCCTCCCAAACATGTTTTTCTACCAGAGCTTTATTAATCAAAATAAAGCAACTGAAAGAAAGCCTTATGAGACACTTTGTACAGATGTAAATATTTTCGGAAGGGTAATTCTGAAAAAATGTCTTACCTTCTATTTAAGCTAACACTTATCTTATAATCCATACCGTGTACGAAGAACAGAACTAAGGCTCCTCATTAGTAATCAGAAAAACAGCATTTGTATTCTATTTTAATAATTAACTTGATATATCAATAGTTCAAATATTTTAAATATATATATTTTTATTATCAATTACAAAATGCCTACACATGTATAATACCGGCAATCAACTATTACTGTTACATTACACAGTCACAAAAAGAATATAACACTTGTTGTTTTCAAAATTCTAAAGCCTAATAAAATATTTTATCTATCTGCCTACAGGTTGGATTTCAAGAGCAGACACCTCAGTGACTCAAGTATCAAAGTAGGTTATTATTTTTATCTTTTTACCTGTATTCGGGCTGTCGACCTCCAGAATGATCATCTCTTGTCCATCTACAGCCAGATTCATCCTATAACATGAAAAAGTTAATTTAGATATTTGTTTATATTATTTTGGCCAAGCAGGATATATCTAATAGCATTACTAGAAATTAGCCTCTAAACCAAAATAATCTGAGGACAGAAAATACTTTTCTAAATTTCCCTGAACTTCAAAGGCACAAAAAAGAAAAAAGAAACAGCAAGTCAACCATTTCAACGGCTAAAATGGTAGAACGACTGAGAATTATGTTACCATTTATTCCTATTAAAATGCTTAAATTGTTTCTTTGGTAAGCCCAAACAGCCTTATTGCCAAAGACACATATACCAACATCACAAAAGTTAAGGACTGTTTCAGGACAAAGGCTAAAATTAATCAAGCATACATTTCTTGATCTTTCATTTTATTCTTCTTTCTGTCAAATTTTTTCACTGACTTTCAGATTCAAGGCCAGTAAAGAACTTTCTCACTTTTCCTGTTCAAGTTTTCTTTTCTCACCTTACTTCCCATTAAAAAAACACAATTTAAAGCAATATAATAACACTGTCAAAAAATGAGTAACAAAATGAACTTCTCCTTTATCAGTAATTAGTGTGAATGTAAATGGATTAAATGCTCCAATCAAGAGGCAGAGAGTGGCAGATAGGATACAATAACAGACCCATCTACATCCTGTATACAAGAGACACACCTTACGCACAAAGACACAGATAGAGAGTGATAAGATGGACAAAAACATTCTAAATAAACGGTTATCAAAAGAGATCAGGCGTGGCAATTTTAGTATCAGACAAATAGACTTTAAGGCAAAATCTATTATCAGAGACAAAGAAGGACATTATGTAATGATAAAAGGGTCAATGCAGCAAGAAGATATAACAATTATAAACATTCATGCACCTAACCTCAAAGTCCCAAAATTTATAAAGCAAACACTGACAGATTTGAAGGCATAAACAGATTTATAATAATAGTAGGAGAGTTTAATACACCACTTTTGATAACAGAGAAAACAACTAGAAAGATCAACAAAGAAATAGAAGATTTGAACGACACTATTAACCAACTAAATCTAACAGACGTATATACAGAACACCCCACTCCATAACAGCACCACATATATTCTTCTCCAGTGCACATGGGATCATTCTCTAGGACAGACCATATCTTAGGACACGAAGCAAATTTCAGTAAATTCAAAAAGACTGAAATCATACAAAGTATCATTTCTGATCACAATGGAATGAAACTAGAAATTAATAACAGAAAACTGGAAAACAGACAAATATATGAAAATGAAATAACACATTAATAAACAACCAATGGGTCAAAGAAGAAATCAAGAGGGGAAAAAAAATACTTGGAATCAAACAAGGATGAAAAAACAACATACCAAAACCTACAGGAGGCAGAGAAGGAGGTACTCAGAGGGAAATTTATACCAGTAAATGCCTGCCTTGAAAAAGAAGATTCCAAATCAACAGCCTAACTCTACAACTCGAGGAGCAAAAAAGGAAAAGCAAATTAAGCCCAAAGCTACCAGAAGAAAGGAGTAAAGATCAGAACAGAAAAAAAAGAAACAGAAAATAGGAAAACAATAGAAAGAATCAACAAAAACCAGAAAGTGGTTTTTTGAAAAGATCAATAAAATCGACACACCTTTGGGTAGACTGACAAAGAAAAAGAGAGAGCAAAGGCTGATACCTAAAATTAGAGACAGAAGTGGGGACATCACAACCTATCCTATAGAAATAAAAAGGACTTTAAAGAGTACTATGAATAGTTATAAGCTAACTAATTAGATAACTTAGAGGAAATGGACAAATTCCTTGAAACGCATAAATTCCCAACAATGATTCAAGAACAGTTAGCAGATCTCAACAGACCTGTAAGTGAACAGACTGAATCAGTAAATCAAAAACCTCCCAACAAAGAAAATTCCTGGACCAGATGGCTTCACTGGGGAATTCTATCAAATATTTCTAGAGGTGACTATAATCCTATTTAAACTTTTCCAAAAAATAGAAGAGGAGGGAACACTATCTAACTGATTCTATTAAAGCGAGCACTACCCTGATACAGACAAAAGACAAAGACATCACAAGAAAAGTACAGACCAATATCCCTGATGAATACAGATGCAAAAATACTCAACAAAATACAAGCAAACTGAATCCAAAAACTTATTAAAAGGAAAAAGAAAAAGAAACTGTCATTTATTAATAAGCTATATTAGAGCAAGATGTAGTACTAAGTTTAAAATTAATCAAAGAAGCACACTTTGTCCTCTAAGGCAGACATATAAAGTACACAGCAACTCACACCCAATTACTTTAGAATTATACATAGAACAACACATATGCTAATTACTTACAATCAGAAACATGGATTTAGCTAAAATAGATTACCTTTATTTCCCTCTTTAGCATCACATACCCTACCATGACATAAGTAAAATGTACTCATTGTTTTCCTTCTCAACATTAAATATAAAGAAAACAAAAAACAGGATTCTAGGAAGATGGCGGTGTAAACAAACCATGGTTCCAACCCTCCTCCACAAGTAGAACAAGAAATACAAAAAGGAAACAGTGCTTGGCTTTGAAGGGCTCTGAATCAGGGAGCAAAGGACAGCAATGGGGAACTGCAGACAGGCAAGAATCAACAATGGGTTGCATGCAGTGGGAATACTGCTTCCCCCCAAATCCCTGCCCTTACCCCAGCCACATGGGCCACTGGCTGCTGTGAATGGGCATAGTGGCCCCAGAAAAAAAGCCTGCTCCCCTAACCACCACAGCCCCCGCCTGTACAAAGAAACAAGACCTGGAGCTTCTGCCCTAAAATTAACAAGACAGACCTCCCCAGGGTTCCACCTGGAATGTGTCTACACCTCCCCCACTCAGACACTGTTGGTTACAAGCCTACTGCAAATTGCTACAGAAGGCCTGCGCAGTGGAGTCCGCTCTCATAGTCAAAACTCTACCTGCCTCTCTGCACAACCCATAGCTCAGGCCTCTGAAAACAACAGGACAGATCTCTTAGGAAGTCAGTTCTGGTCCATCTGCACCCCCCTTCAGTCAGTGCTGAGGACTGCTGACTGAGGCTGCTGTGTGCCAAAAAGCAGGCATCTTTAGTGGAGGCTACACCCACAGCCAACATACTCTAGGGGAGCTCTGAGAGCAACAAGGCAGACCTCCCTGGGGCTCCATCTGGAGTATGCTAGCACCTTCCCCACCCTGATGCTATCAGCTGCAAGCCTACTGTGAACTGCCACAGAAGGTCTGTAGAGTGGGGCCTGTTCCCATAGTAAACATTCTACCAGACTCCCTGCGCATCCTGTAGCTCAGGACTCTGAAACCAACAGGACACACCTCCTGGGAAGTTAGTTCAGGGCTATCTGCTCCCCAATTCAGTCAGTGCTGAGGACTGCTGACTGAGGCTGCTGTGTGCTAGGAAACAGGCATCTTTAGTGAAGGCTACACCCACAGCCAATATACTATAGGGACGGCTATGATAGTTACAAGGCAGACTTCCCAGGAGGTGTGTATGGAGCATGACAGCCTCTACCCCACCAGGACACTGTTACCTGCAAGCCTACTGTGAATTGCTACAGAAGGGCCCTACAGTGGAGTTGCTCCCAGTCAGCACTCTACTTGCCTCCCTACGTACTCTACAGCTCTGGCCTCTGAAACCAATAAGACAAATCTCCCTGGAGGTCAATAAGGTTTAGTCTGCCCCTACTTCCAATTGATGCTGAGAACTGCTGATTAGGCTGCTGTGTGTTAGGAAGCAAGAGTCTTGAGTAGAGGCTGCTCTCACAGCCAACAATCTACCCAGGGGGACTTTGATAGCAACCAGGCAGACTTTCACGGGGATCTGACCAGAGCGTGACACCACCTCCCCTACCTGGTGATTGCTGCTTTCCAGGCTGTAGCAAACTGCTACAGAAGACCCCCGCAGTAGAGTCTGCTCCCAAAGTCAGCACTCTACCTGCCTCCCTGTGTACTCAACAGCTCAGGCCTCTGAAACCAACAGGACAGACCTCCGTGGGGATCAGTTTGGGTCTGTCTGCTCCCCTTAGAGTCAGCGTCAAGGACTGCTGACTGAGGCTGCTGTGTGCTAGGAAGCAGACGTCTTGAGTGGAGGCTACACCCACAGCCAAAATACAATGGGGCGGGCTCTGATAGAAACAAGGCAGATCTCCCTGGGGGTTCAATCGGTGTGTGACTACCCCACCACCAACTGGTAATTGTTGGCTGCTGACCTGACATGAACTGCTACAGAAGGTTCCCTACAGTGGAGTCAGGAGGTGGGTCACCTAAGTGGAGATTGGCCCCAACCACCAGAGTGCCACTGGGGCTCTGAAATCAACAAGACAGATCCTTCAGAGGTCCTTCAGGGGAGTGCCAGCCCCTCATTCTCCTGAAACAAAGGAAAGTCTGCCTGTGCTTCCCCTGAATGCCAGCTCAGGTATAAGCAACCCCCACAAAGCCAGAGGGCAACACCCAGCCCTAAAGACAGCTTGCTGGGTGTGGGTTTCCCGACTAAAAACGTGATTGCAGAAACAGAGAAGAGAAGGCAGTAATAACCAGAGATGGGGGCAGCACCCCCTGGTGGAAAGATTGATTAGCACACAATATCTCGCCTGAGTGGCAATGGCTGCTGGCGGACAGACTGACCACAGCGTGTCGTGTTCTCTAGTGTGTCTGGGAGACATTGAAAGTTAAGATACAAGATCTGAAACTTTCAAATCCCAATTAAACCAGGAAGGGAGAAGGAGCTATCACAGAGAGGGAGAAGAAACAGTAAGCAAAGGCCAAAGGCTCTACCCACCTAAGAGTTTCTTGGATAAAGTAATACAGGGGAAAATGAGAAAAGTGAACACCTTCGAAAATTTCAATGTCTCAACAACAACAACAAAAAAAAAATCACAAGACACACAAAGAACAGAGAAACAAATGAACATGACAAAGGGAGTAAAAGCACATTTAGGGATAACGAAATAATGAAAAAAAAGGTAAGAATATA